GTGGGTGTTTCACGGTGAGCAGTCCCCACCCCAGCTCCCAGCTCCTGGCAGGTTCCTGCACGTTCCTGAGGACACAGTAAACAGCCCTGCTCCCCCATCACTCTGCTCCTCCCTCCCTCTGTGGCACGAGGTGAGCAGTGGATGCAAAGCTTCCTGAGACCTCCCTGGCTTCCAGCGAGAGAACGTCCTGGTATTCCTGACAAAATATTTGGCTGGACTGCCAAGTCCAAAACATGCTGAGTTGCAGATGGCAGAAGCCTTTTTGCAGCCGTCTTGCCAGCACGACAGGACTTCCACTGGGAAGTCATTTCTCAAGCTCTGGAGTAGCACTATGGGTTAAACCCGCAGAAATCAGCATTAACCGTGCAGGTCATGCCAGGAGCATCTGCAAACTGCCAGAAATGGGTTAAAGTCACAGGTCTGCAGAACAGAAAACAAGGGCTTGAACCGTAATCTGCTTTGCTGCTCCAAGCGTGGCCTCTCTTGGGGGCACGGCGAGCAAAGAATTAGAAACACGTAGTTATCACTGCTCAGCAGAACACAGCAGCCTCCAGCCACGGCACTGCTTCTGCCTGCACAGCAACCCTTTCAGATCCCCTCCTCACCCCTCGGGTTGCTCGTGATCCCAACCCCACACCGGAGGAGGGCTTTGCCTTTCCATTCCTCGCTGGTTGAGAGGGGACCCCCCTGCAACCCACCTTGCTCGTAAGGGCTGTTTCACCTCACCCTAAGAGCAGTTTGTTGCAGACCAAACCCACCCCAGTCACTCTGGGGTCCAGTTTTGGGGCTTGCCAGGAGGAGAAATGCTACTTTCACACCATCAAAATCAGCTCCAACCCCATCCAAAGGTGCCCACCAGCAACGTGGGAAATCCAGACTGACGCTGCCAGAATGAACCTGAGGAGTGTGGGGTCTGATCCGGGGTGTCCACCCCCCCTGCCAGCACCCCAGTGCCAGCCTGGGTGACAGGGGAACACCCTCCCTGCCTTCAGACCACCAGCTCCCTCTCCCAGGCTCTCTGTGCCGCCCCGGTCGGGCCCTGCTGTGCTCGAGCCGGGCACACCCTCCATCCCTTTGTACAACAACTTCACAGGGGTTTGGGCTCCCTCCAGCACTGTGTGGGAGTAGTTTTTTTTTTTTTTTCTAAAACACGAGGATTGTTTTACAGTCAAGCCTATTCAGTGATCTGAGCGAGGAAAGGACTGAATTACCCCCTTGCTCCTCTCCAAAATCCAGCGGGGTCTTTAATTTCGGCAGCAAAGGGGCAAAAGAAGCCCATGAGCAAGTGAGGGCATGTGAGTGGAGAGCTGGGAGCACCGACCTCGCTCTGACACCGCCTGCTCTGCTTTCTGGAAATCCTATCTCTGTGTTACATAAGGATCTGGCCCTATCTGAGAGCCGGGGTCACTGCACTGCTCCAAGTGTGGTAAAACGCTCGGAGGTCCCCAACAGGAAAGCGGGAGAGAAGTGCCAGCTGGGATCACCAGCAGGGAGGGGTGCTGGGCACCAGGGTAAGCCCTGATGGAGCTGCTGAACCAGCCAGCTCCAGGCAGAAGGAAGGTGGCCACCAAGCAGCCCAGAGCTCCCAGCCTTGGCCTTCTCCAGCTTTAAGGAGATGACTCCACCAAGCAGGTCCACTTTCAGACGGGACTTATGCAATAGTTTGGAGCTGCTCCATGTGACCCAGACTTGCTGGACCTCTGCCACCGCTCTCCTTGCTGGCTCCAGCCAGGCACAAACAGCACAATTACAAAGAGGACCGAGCACTCATTAACAGAAAGTGCCTCTCGCCCCACCAAACACACACATGGACTGCTCATGGAAGCACACACGTGTCGTCCACGTGCATGCAGGGCACGGCTGCAGCTGTCTGTGTGTGGCTGGTGCACATGGATACGCACTGTGCACATGGACACACACTGTCTGCACATGGACACACACTGTCTGCACATGGATACATGTGATCTGCACATGGATGCATGCTGTCTGCACATGGACACACTATCTGTACATGGATGCACGCTGTCTGCACATGGACACACACTATCTGCACATGGATACACACTATCTGTACATGGATACATGTGATCTGCACATGGATGCACGCTATCTGCACATGGACACATACTACCTGTACATGGATGCATGCTATCTGCACATGGACACACACTATCTGCACACGGAATACACACTATCTGCACATGGATACACACTATGTGCACATGGATACATGTTATCCCCATGAGGACACACACTACATGCATGTGGACGCACACTATCTGCACATGGATACCTGCTATCTGCACGTGGATACATGCTATCTGCTATATGGGTTCATGTTATCTGCATATGGATACACAGTGCACGTGGATGCACAGGGATACATGTCATCTGTACATGGGTGCACGCTATCTGCACATGGATACACACTACATGCATGTGGACACATCATCTGCATGTGGATGCAAGTTACCTGCACCTGCATACACAGTGTAGGTGGATACACACTATCTGTGCATGTAAATATGTTGCTTGCACATGGATGCACATTATCTGCACGTGGATACACACCATGTGCATGTGGACATGCACTGTCTGCATGGGGATACACGTCACCTGCAGGCACGTCTGTGGCTGATGCCCACACACCCCTGTGTGCCATCACGCACTGCCAATGCCATTTTTCTATCTGGCACCTCCATGTCTTCCTGGCTGCCTTCTGCCTTCTTAAACCGCTCCTTCTCCCCCGTGGGGGTTCAGCACAGCCAGGAGAGAACCCATCCCTCCTGGGGCTCCACGCAAAGCAGCTCTCCCCATGCTCCTACTGCTCTCCCCAGCAACACAGTTCCAAGCTCTGCTGCTGCGCTTGGAACGCCAGGAAACTGCCCCAGGCTCTGGGAAAGGCCAGGAGCACTCCCACCTCGGAGCAGGCAGGGAAGCAGCCCCAGCCATCTGCGTCCCGGCAGGGCTGGCTCCCGCAGCTCCCCTCCAGCAGTGCCGGTGCTTACACAACCCAGCAACGCGCACGGCGCCGAGCCCGGGGCTTGCATAAAGACAAACACCCTCCTGTGCCAAAACCCAGCTCTGCTCACCTGCCCAACCACCAGCGGCCCTCCCCGGGAGGGATCTGCTCTGAGGAAGGGACAGGGGACGTGCTGCTGGTCCCAGCTGAGGCAGTAGCGGGTTTTGTACAGTTACAGCTCACAGAGAACTGTCCCAGCCCCACACGCCCCCCAGAATTTGTCCCCTAAATTTGACTCTTCATCAGCCTGGGCATAGGGGCAGGGCCATACCCCCCACACGCAGAATCAAAGAATCATGGAATGGTTTGGGTTGGAAGGGACCTTAAAGATCATCTCCTTCCTCCTGCCATAGGCAGGGACACCTTCCACTAGCCCAGGTTTCTCCAAGCCCTGTCCAATCTGGCCTGGGACACTTCCAGGGATGGGATAGCCACAGCTTCTCTGGGCAACATCTCTTAATGCTGTGCTGAGACTCTCTGACAAGGACATGTCTGGTCATCAGACTGGGAGTTCTACAGAGCAGGACAAAGCCCCGTTACAGCCCCTCTCATCACCTGCCACACCAAGTGCTTCCACGTGCACTCCAGCTGGAGCTGGAGAGAAGGAGAACCTCACTGAGATTCCCCAGAAGAGCACCTGAGGTGACTTCTGCTACCCAGAGGGGCTGTAAGAAGCTCTTTCTGCCACCACCGTGGCCCAGCATCACCTAACAGTGTACCCAGTGAGAGCCCAGTGCTGGACAGGGGAAGGGATCGAGGTTAAGTTTGACATTAGAACAGAATGACCCAACCCAGCCTGTCTCAGGGGGTCACAGAAGTGGCTTGGAGGAAGCACAGTGAGCTGTGGAGTGGGACCCTAAAGCAGCAAAGCCAGTTTGGACCTCGCTGTCCTTCCTGGAAATCAGAACCACTCAGAGAAAAGTGACATCAGGGTGACACAGAGACAAGGAGAGCACCCGGGGTCCCCTTTGTGAAGGGCAGGACTTGAGGAAAACAGCCTGAAGTTGTGTCAGGAGAGGGTTAGGTTGGATTTTAGGAAAAGATTCTTCCCCCAGAGGGTGGTGGGCACTGCCCAGGCTCCCCAGGGCAGTGGGCACGGCCCCAAGGCTGCCAGAGCTCCAGGAGCATTTGGACAACACTCTG